GAGATCCAGGCAATCCTGAGTAAGATGGTGTTTTGTCATTTTGAAGATTGTCAAAATTTACACTAACTTATTACACCTAATTTCCGGAAATATTCCTGTACAGGAACCGTTCAGTATTTCTTTCCTGGCAAGACTGACGCAGAGATCAAGGGCTACATCCGACAGAAACTGCAAAACGAAGCCAAGAGGCTGAGGAAGAAACCGTCACTCTCAGGCCAATATGAGTCTAGAGGTTTCAGTGTACCGTTAGATATGATCGACCAGAATTGAAACGCACAGTTAGTAGATATTAATTGCGTGTTCTCCATTAAATTAGCCTTATTCGGTGTTACTTACAATTAAAGTCCTGGACTCAAGTGAAATTGATGTGCATTGATAATAGTCTTCAAAGAAAGTCACACTGATCTCTTGCAGCTGCCATTCGGCGGTTGACGGTTGTGGCTTTCTGATGTGAAAATGCAAATGAGCGATTCCAGATAAGTCCAAATGTTGCATTCATGAAAGCCTCTGGCTGCATCGAGCACAGTCCACGCTTAGATATCGAGATGTTTAGATATTAATGAATTAATGATGTGTCTCTGTGAACGTCTGTTTTTTTTAATACTTTGTATTTAACAGATGTAGGATTTCAAGACGTACCATTGTGCGCGGAGCGTAATAGGGTGTGACCATTATTTACATTGTATTTTCAATGTATTTCTTATTTGATGATGTTATTTGGTCTATATGACAACAGCTTTATGTATGTAGTTTTTTGTTATTAAATGCTGAAAACGCAGGTCTGCTTATTGGTATTAGCTTTTCAACTTTTTATTTATTTTTTATTCAATATGGTTTTTGGTTGTTAATGTGTGACACGATGAAATGGACGTGGGAGAGTTGGTAGGTGTATTATCGTGGACAATGCCTTCTCAATGAGGGCCATTGAGAACAATGCAAGCTGCATGTGGAGAGCTGGTGAGATAGAGAGAATCAATGACTGAGCGACACAGGCAGAGTGACAACAGCAGGGGTGCTGGGCCAGTTGTCTTGGCAACCTCAGTCTTCTGGGCCACAGCAGTCTGGGTCTTACCCTGGCCATCGCCTCCGAGCATCTGCCCGCTGCAGGGATGAGGGGGATTTTTGACAAATAAATGAAAGGCAAAAAGCTTTTAGGGCCCAAAAAGAGATTAGTTCTGTCGCCCAGTGGCAATTTTAGTCTTCGCTTGATCATCAGTATGATATTTATCAATATTTGATAAATGCTCAGACCTCTGTCTTGTTTTTCTGCTCTTGTCGACTGGGCGGAAAACAAAGTGTTTTGTAATGGCTGCTCTTTTAAGCTTCTGTGTCAGTAAACGGGCCTGTCTGGCCTGATTGATGGCACAGGCGATGATTGGGCCGAGCGCAACCCTCTACTTATCATAGCTTCATCATAGACAGTGGGGGGAAAAGAAAAAATGACAGACAAAAGAAAAAATGGATGCGTGTGCATTTTGCAAACCAATGAAGTGAGAATGCGCCACAGATAATATCTTGGTTAAATGTCGCCATGATCGATGACACAAAGTCTACAATGCCAATGTGGTATAAAACTTGGGTCTGAAATTGAGCTGTAATGCTTCACTGTTCCTTGCCTTAGATGTAGAGGGTGTGCAAAAATCATGTCCATTAGATCCTCAATCTTGTGAGCATAATGTGTTTCTGCCATGTGATTATACCAGCTGCCCCAGGGCAAAACAGAGACAACACAGTGACAAAACATCGGGGGAGATGTATGGCTAGTCTTTTAGATGAGGTGAGGTGCTGTTTCTATGATAATCGTATGCTGTTATAAAGTAATTATATTTCAATATATGTTTACTATAGAATACATTAATGCATTTCATCTTTAGGTGGACTATACAAGGAAAACATTCTAGGTACAGTATGTTCTCTAATTTTCAAAAGTTTGGGGTTGGTAAGATTGTTTACATTTTTAAAATTAATCTCTTATACTTACCGAGGCTGCATTTATTTAATCCATAATATAGTAAAATATTATTTTTTAATTACTACATTACATTATTTAATTTATTAAAATCGACTTATCCATGTGATGCAAAGCTGAGTTATTCCAGTCTTCAGTGCCACATGATCTTTCAGAAATCATTCTAATATGCAAATTTGGTGCTACAGATTTCTTCTTATCAATGTTAAAAACAGTTGTGCTGCTTAATACTTTTGTGGAAACCATGATATTTTTCTGGATTTTTTGACAATGTAAAGTCTTTACTGTCACTTTTGATCAGTGTAATGTCTCCTTGCTGAAAAAATAATACTTTCTTACATGACCCCACACATTTTAAAAACATTACAACAGTAATGTCAAATAAGAGTAAAATGCATCAGCTGTCTGTATCTCCCCCTTAAAATGTTGTTTTTGGCATATTCCACCTCAGACGTTTGACCTTATATTCTGTTTCAACTAAAATCATCATGATCTGTTGACAACATTCATTTTATTGTAGTAAAACATTTTTAAATTCATTTAAAAATCGAATATTTAGCTGTGCCACACAATTGCATGCAACCCTGTTATACTGAATTGATTTTGCCATTTTTGAGTGCTTTCATCAAACTCAGCCTTAAAACTAGTAACCCTAGTTAGTATATATATATATATATATATATATATATATATGATTTTTTTTTTTTTATAAAATTATTATTTTTGTCAGGCT